ATAAAAAAATCAATTTCTATACTAGTACTCATGTTGAGCACCTTAGTAGAACTATTTCCAATCACTCTGCCCTTCTTATTTGTATAAAGTGGGTTCATAGAGACTGCCCTTCTAATTTCAAATTTCAAAATATGTGGCTTTTAGATAGTTTTGTTTAACTATGGTTCATGACAATTGGCAAGCCCCTTTGCATCCTGATAATTCTTTACAAGGAATGAACAGACTTTGGTTGAAACTTAAGAGGTTGAATTTCAAAATAAATTGGTTGAATATAAATATTTTTAAATATGTTTTATATAATATATTGGTTGCTGAATATATGGTGAATCTGACGGAAATTAATTTTCAAAATGACTACACTTACGAGAACTTTAAGCTCCTGAACAATGTTAAAACCTCCCTATTTAAATTTCAAGCACTTGAAGAGATTTTTTGAAAAAAAAAGGTTCTAAGCATCTTATTGAGGGTGATAATAACACTAAGTACTTTCATGCCTTAGTGAATAATAAAGGGGCTAAGAATTAAATATAAACTACTGAAAATCTTTCTAGAGGAATTATAAATCCTTATGATAATCACCCAAATTTGTCCTATATGACTTTGGGTGGTATTCCTATTTTCCATTTAATCTTTATTGATGATATTATTATATTTGCTAATGGTTATTTGATTATGATTAATATTCTAATGAGATTTTTACAAAAAATTGAGAATATTATTAGTCTTTTTCTTAATTACAATAAGAGTTGTTTTATTACTTCCAAAAAAGCACCTTAGGATCATATTAATAATATTAAAGGTATTACTTGTTTTATGAAAACTTACTTTCCTTTAAAATACTTGGTGGTTCTTATAAACAATGGCAAGAAGAAGACTTTTCTTTTTGATGATCTTATATCATCTATTCAAAATTTCCTGGGACCTTTTCATATTAATTTGCTAACTTTTGGCTGGAGATTAACTCTTGTCAAGAGTGTCATGTGCTCTTTACCTATCTACATTCTCTAAATAATTCAACCTACTCTTGTGATTTGTAACTAGTTGGAGAGAGTTTTTCATTAGTTTTTGGAGGGGATACCCCCAATCATTCCTAACTACTTTTGTCTTCTTGCAGTAATTATTGTGAGGTGATTGAGGAAAATGGTTTGGAATGTAAAAGTATGATTGATTTATCTCATAATTTTTCTATTAAACTATGGTTTCATTTTTGTGCCAAAAAAAGCATGTGGGCTAAGTTTATGACTTCTAAGTATTGTAATATAAAACTTCCTACTATGTGCATTTATAAAAAATGTGATTCTAAGGTTTGGAAGACATTGTATAACATGAAATGGGAATTGAAGAAACTGATCCCACAGGGTTAGGGTCGAAGTAATTTTTTTTTACAAGATAATAGGTTAGTTTTATCTTATATAAATTCCTTACTCTTCATGAATTCAACTTCAACTACTAAAATGAGTTATTCTAATTCTGACAATAATTGGGATTATAATAAATTAGCAGAGGTGATCCTTAAGTTTGTAGTTATTCATATTTTGAATATCCCTCATAATGTCAATTTGATGATTGTTTATTATTTAAGATTTCCAACACTTGTATTTTTAGACTTAATGAGGCTTGGAATTTTCTTAAAATTTAAAACACTATTTCTTTGGTGTTCTCCATGATCTATCATAAATGTATTGCCACATCTATTGCGGTCTTAATTTGGAGAGTTATGCACAGGTATGTCCCCACTAATGATATTTTAGTGTCTATAGGTTTTATTTTACCCTCAAGATCTCAATGTTACTCCCACGTAGGGAATATACATCATGTGTTTATTTCTAGCCCTATTATTGAAAAATTATGGATTTATTTCAATGATATGTTTAGATTTTATTATTTATGTGGTAATATTAGTATCCCTAATATGCTGAACAATTGGTTTATCAATTTTAAAGGTCACATTTAGAATGCAAAATCAACTCTTATTATGTGGTTTTTATGGCTTCCTAGAAATGATTATTATTTTAATAATATTAGCATGAACCATTGGTACATTATTAATAAAATAAAAAAAAAGTGCTGAAGCTCTTTTCTTTTAATCTTTTGGGCATTAAAATATTTAGGGGTTGTTTTTTTATGGCTAAAAAATTTTGTATTATTCTACATGCTAATAAAGGTACTGAAGAGCCCAAGTTGGTTTATTGGATTAAGGCCAAACCACATATTTTTAAACTTAATATAAATGTATTTGTTAAAAGTTCTGGTCGTGGTTGTGGTGGTATTATCATGGGTTCATTTGGTAGCAATATTATGTCTTATGCTAATTATTTATGTTGTACTGTTATTTATTTTGAGCTATTTTTTATTGTTATATGGTCTTAAGCTATATCTTTCCCTTGGAATAACTTACATTTGGATTGAGGTAGATGCTACTAATAGCCTTCATTTTTTGAAGGATTTTGAAAATAATATTTGTAGCCTTGGTTGATTCTATTTTATATGTGATATTAAGTGGCTCTTGGTTCTTTTTAATTTCCATATGTCTCATATCCTTAGGGTGGGAAACACTTGCTTGGACTGGTTAGCTAATTATGGATCTTACTTACAATAATTTTCCTAACTTATTAAAAGGCCTTATTAGGCTTGATAAAAATAGGCTTCCATATGTTATATTCTATTTATGTGGGTGGTGGAAGGGTTATGTTTGATGGATGGGGATCTTTTGGTTTGTCAAGAGGGGCTCTATTGGGTTTGTTTTTGGCTGATAAGATTTTTTTGAGTATGTAGGAGTTTTATTGTTTTGCTATTTTGGTTGACCTTTATTGTATTGGTTGTTTCTTTTCATCCTCTCAACTAATTATTTTTAAATTTATACAGATGTTCTTTTATTTTTATTATGATCTATGCTGATGGTTTGTTTAACAGGTTTCCAACTAGACTTCACAAGTTTATTTTTTTGTTTTTGAATTGTTATTGTATATGCTTTGATCCTCAAGCTTGTTTTAAGGTTTTTGGTGGTTCTCAAGAATATGCTTTATAGAGGTACTAAATTAATTTTGATATATATCAATCTAGTAGTTCATCTTTTTGTAGGAGATTTAGGCTGAATTTCTTATGGTTAATATACATTTTTTGGGGTTGGCTTTTTCCTCCCACAAAATTTTCATTGGTTTTTTTATTATTAATATACTTAGTTGGGATTAAAGACTTTCAAATTTATTTATTTTTTTATTGTAGCACTTTGTATCATAGTGAGTCATTGATCTTGCTTAAAGATTTGTATTCTACCTTTCTATATTAACGTGTAGGCTCATATGTGTGTTTTAATAAAAATAAAATAAATACTTTAAATAAAATTCAAAATAATTTTCTAATAAAAATTAAATTGAATTAAACTTTAAAGCAATAATACTTTTAAAAAAATAAAATCCCCATCATAATGTTGCAACTCAAACTTATGAGTTTATGTTTTTGATGATAAGAAACATTATGGCTCTCTTTCTATTGTTTACTTGTATTTACAAAATATGTTTGTTTGTGAGTATACTAATATTTCAGGAATACCATGCAACATCAAATAAAGAATCAGAGCTCAAGATTGGGTTGAATAATGTTATGTTGTAAAAGGGTTTGTAATATTCATTGATGCAATTTTTGATTTCTTGAGTCAAGTCTTATAAGGGTGTATGCTTGCTTGGTGACCATGCACACACACTCAAGGGAGTGAGATCTAGTCAAATCTAGAAGATCATGTTTTGAACTAATCGTACTTGACGATTTTGGATCATCCAGGACGATCCTTTATGATCTTGGAAAAGAGCAGACAAGGACAATTTAGGAAAGATTTTAATATTTAATTTTTGTTCTAATCATCCCAGACGATCTGGATCATCCAGGAAGATCAAAACAAATCATGCTTAAATTCATCATGTGATTAAGGGACTAATTATGGTTAAATTTCTCAATCATATCGTCCTGGACGATATGTATATCGTCCTGGCCGATGTTTGCCGACATACTTGATTTTCCCAAAATGGTCAGGACGAAATACCATAATTTCTCTTCTACATCGTCCCGGACGATACAAATATCATCTGGATGATATGTACATTTTTTGTACTAATCATCCTGGACTATCCTAATATCGTCCTGGACTATCCTAATATCGTCCAGACCTATCAGGTCAAATTCTACATATCGTACTGGACGATCCTGAGATCATCCAAGACGATTCTGGGTGCTGAAATTGAGTTTTTAGGATTTTTTGAAGTCCTCTTTATAAGCACATCGTACATAGGGCTGCAAACTAACTGAGCCGAGCTGAGTATGTTAGTGTTTGTGTTTGTTTAACATTAGCTTGTTCATGTTTGGTTCGTGTTTGATTCGAGCTTTATTATTTGTGTTCATGTTTGGTTCGTTTAATTTAAGGGTGTTCTTGTTTGGTTCATGTTTGGTTCATGTTCGTTTGTTTAGTGCTTATCGAGCTTTAAACAAGCTATGTTCGTGAACATATTTTGCAAAGAATCTATTGAACAAGCAAACCTTAAATTTGTTCATGAACATTCTAAACAAACAATCTAACAAACATGGACAAATATCAAATATTTCTTGTTCATGAAATGAAATTTCTAAAATAAAAGCAGTTGTATATTTAAAATGAAAATATGATTAATTTATATAAATATATTTTTGAAAGAAGCTTACCCGTTGCATTTCTCTCAATTTGGTACGGTAGCTGAAAGATTATCTTCTGCATTTGTAACAAGACTTCAATGGTTCTGTCAGGACTATTAAAAAAATACACCATATAAAACACACTATCAAAACAAATACATCATATAAAATAAAGCAAGTTGATATTTAGCACATAACGAAATTCAAACCAATGAGCTAATAGAAGTGGAGAGTATAATAAACAAAAACTTAAATAAAGCATGTATATATGTCAAAACTACAAAAAATATAGTAGCTCATTAAACAAAATTACAATAGTTTTCTTCACAAAAAAACAGAAAAAAAAAAGAATATTATGCTCCTTATCAAACCAATGAGATCTCTTTTGTTTCCTCCCTAATCTGCAAGATGTAATATAATAAATTAGTAGTTGTAAGGAAAATTTTCACCAACTAGTATTAAAGTTTTGTCTTATCATACCTTCACTTTTCTCTTTATACCATATAAATTACGGTACCAATCACTTCCACAAATAAGAAGTTGCCCTATATCTGTACCCAAAGATGATCTATATTGATCAATAACTCTTCCACCAGCACTGAAGGTGGCTTCTGAAGCAACTGTTGTAATTGGAATAGAAAGAATGTCACAAGCCATCCTTGATAAAATATGATATTTTAGATTGTTAGCCTTCTACCATTCTAAACAATCAAAATGAATTATTGGATTTTCTTCCTCGATTAAAACTCCATCATCCAAATACACATCAAGCTCAGATTTTACTACATGAGTAGTGTAATCTGTTCTAATATAAGTTTCATATTTTCTCTTTCCATAAAGTGGTCTGCCTCTAATAGAAGAGGAACTAGGATAATTACTATTTGTTTCTTCAACTGTATTCTTCTCAGCATTTGCGATTTTATAATCTTCTACATACTCATTATAAAGTTCATTTAGACTCTCTCGTATATCGGTGATGTGCACTTGAGCTATGTTTTCAGTATACATAGAGTTGAAAGCAAAGCTTATCATTTTCATTTTATTTCTTGGGTCTAAAATTGCACCTAATGAGATTAAAAGATTACAATCACCCCAATATTTGTCAAATTTATCTTTCATTTTTCTTGCCATGTCTCTAATGTGTGCATTACCATGTAAATAATTATCATCCAACATCTCCTTTATTCCGCAAAGCTCAGACATGAATATGTTGGATGTGGGGTACTCGGTACCTAACATATTAAAGAAAAATTTAGAAGAATAGATTGGGGAAAAAATAAGAATATTATTAACATTCAGAAGAATATACCTGAAATCAATTCAGTTGTTTGATTAAACACTTCAAGAAATGAGCATACATCTTCCAACTTTCTCCATTCCTCCTCAGTAGGACAGGTAGAATAGCAGGAATCTCGATCTTGAAATCTAGGAAAGAATTCTTTAAACTCTAATGCAGTTGACAACATTGCATATGTAGCATTCCATCTTGTAACACAATCTAGGATAAATTTCTTCTTGGGAAGGTGTAACTGTTGGGCATTCACTGAACATTAATATACGTTGTTGAGAAGCTGTAACATATTTTACACTGGCCCTAACATTCTTAATAATATCTTTTATCTCATGAATTCCATCTTTTGCCAACAAATTAAGAATATGAGCACAACAACGCACATGAAACATTCGACCACCTAGAGAAAGCTTCTTGTGAAATTCTAGGCTGGTCTTCAACATATTAATTGCTAATGTGTTATAAGCTGCATTGTCAACTGTTATGGTTGCAACTTTATTCTCAATACCCCAATCCTTTAGACATTTGTACGATACATAATGAATGTTGGTTTCCTTGTGAGGTGGAGGTACATCGACAAAGTTAAGCACTCTTTTCTGAAGTTTGCAATCCCCATCAACAAAATGGCAAGTTAATACCATATAATGGATATCTTGATCGGGCTTCCATAAGTCAGTAGTTATGCTAACTTTACTCACTGAATCCAATAAGTTTCTCAATCTTTTTTTTCCAATTTCATAACTTGAAACACAATCACCTCTCAATGTGGTCCGTGAAATCTTCTCATAATGAGGGCTTGCAGCTTTCATGACAATGTTGAACATGTCATACTCCAAAAAATTAAGTGGTAACTCATGCACCATAATCATATAAGAAATCAGCTCCCGCATCCTAGCATGGTCATACTTCCAATTATTGATATTAACACTTTTTCCAAGTTCAAACGTATTATTTTCCAAAGGTGGTTGCAAAGAAATATTAAGTTGCCCTTTAGACTCTACAACTCTTTTACTACAAACAAGTAAGTGACGTTGGTACTGCGTAGTTGCACCACCTTTGTTTTTACTAAGTTTAAACTTATAATGGTTACATTGAATTTTCTCTGAACCATCACCAATTTTTATTATTGTAAATTTCTGCCACACTTATGAGGCTTTTTTTCTTGCTTTCCTAGAGAAACGATTTGCTTGTTGGTCATGTTCTGTTACAACTGTTGGACTTGAAGATTAACTCGCACTAATTTGGACATCATGAACTGCCAAATGTAGCTGAGGAGGTGTAGGATTTATATGTGACTGAGGTGGGGTGGAATTTTGAGACATACCCTTACAAGAAAAGTCAAGAATATTAAACATAAATCCTATCCAAGCTACATCAAAATAAATTTTACACTCCTCAAAGATTAGGGCTTTTACTACAGTTGTTAAAACTTAGGTCATTAAGAAGCCTTGCAAGAGGAAGCACATCAAAACAGCTAACACAACCAATCTAGCAAAAATATGTACAGCAACACAACCAAAAAAAAGGTGCAGCAAAATAGACTCACATGAACACATCAAAGCATCTTACCGAGTTCAACCAAAAATCTGTAAAATTTGCTAACACAACCAAAACTCACATGAACACATCAAAACAGCTAACACAACCAATTCAATAAAAATATGTACAGCAAAATAGAGTTGTATATAGCAAAAAATCTGTAAAAATCTTTGAAACAACTTACCGAGTTCGGGAGTCCAGAAATCCCGCTTCTGCTTGATGTTGGTCGGTGTTGGAAGGAGATAAAATAGAAATGCTGAGTTAACGTTTGATTTGGGTTTGTAATATTATTAAAATCACCACCAATAAGCCATGGAAGGTTGCAAATACTATGAAATTGAATGATTTGATCCCATAAAATCCTTCTTGTATAATGAGAGGAAGCAGCATAAACAAAAGATGCACAATATTGGAAATTAGAACTTTCAATATTATAATGCAAAACTTGTGTAAAGTCCCCAATGATATTAATTCTAACATAATCTTTCCAGAAAACGCAAATTATATTGGAAATATTTGACTTAGCATGTTTAAAACCTAAAAATTTAGCAGTACCAAGTAATTTATCCACATAAATAAGAGGTTCAAGCAAAACGAGAATGGACATATTATGAATACGATATAGATTTTTAACTCTAAACTTAGAAGAAAGGAAACCAATGCCCCAGACATTCCAAATGATGGTGTTAAAAATAAAAAAAACCAAATTAATGTGAAGTATGTGAACGGGTATTTCTAGGAGAATGTAAGAAAACATTTTTGGGTTTCTACCTCTCTTACCACGACCCTAGGAGAAGCTTAAATCATGATCTTCTCTAGCATAACATTTAGCCAAAATATCCACTTCCGTGTCAGTAAAAGCATCACAATGATAATGATCAATTAAAAGAAGCTTACTATCATTTAAGATATCTGAAGACCCCTTAGAAAGAGGCATCTCACCTTACATATAAAAAATAGCTTCTTCCAAAGTGGTGATATTCCTCTAAACTCGTTCGTAGAATTCCTTAACACTCTCAGTTTGGGCATTGGGAGGATTTACTTATACGGATAATTCTTCCTTCGGCAAAAGAGAATCAACTATTTCATTAATAAGATCATTAACCTGCTCATTCATAGACATATATTGAATAGGATTAGGACAGTTAGTATTAATGTTAAAAACAACTATTTGGGTCAAAGATTATTGTGTATCACAAGGAGTAGATGAAGAAGATGGGTCAAGTATAATCTTGGAGTTAACATGTAACATTTATTCTTCCCCATTAGACAGAACACGTATTGTTTCCATTAAAGGGTCCACAATTTGAACACTAAGGAGTTCACCTCCACAAGAGGATGGAGGCAAACTGAATAAGATCAGGTTGAATATTACCATCAACATTACCCTGGGTAATACCTCCGTTACCTTCCACCATAATATGATTCAAAGAAGCATTAACATGAATATTCAAATTTCCCTCTTGCACTTTAGAAGACCTGACCAATTCTTTTTTCCTTCTTAAGGTGAGGATGTAATTTAAAGCATTCACTCAATCCATGCCCATACATCTTACAGTGTAAACAAAAAATTAGATAATTTTTAAATTCAACATTTTGGAAATAACCATTCAATTTAGAACTTAGCCATATCTCTAAAGGATGTTTTTTAGAAATATCTAGCTTGACCAAAACATGAGCATATCACAGATGTTTTTTAGAAATATCTAGCTTGACCATATCACAGATGGCCTTGAAACTAAAGCCCTGGCCCGATCCGTTTGTTGTGGCCTACCAAGAATAGAAGCAAGCCCAAAAATCACTTGAGAATTGAAAAAATGGAGCCTCATATTAGGGAAAGAAACCCAAACAAGAGTAATGGGTGATTCTTCACAGACATCAAAGTCAAGTGTCCATTTAAGGAGCCTCATTTGGCAAGCCTGCATGTAATAAGATCTCCTCAAAAAAATATGGCTATAATCCAAGTCATTGCTCAGTTGAATCGCTACATGACAAGGATCTAGTAATCCGATGTGAAAGGAAATAGAGAGCATCAAATTCATGAAAAACTTGTGGATAACATTTAGATTAGGATGCCTCAAAACAAACTTACCCACAAGAGTAAGTGTGAAAGAGGTATCTAAATGAGCCACAATAGAATCGTCAAACATTAATACAGGACAGCCCTTGAATGATGAGTGAATAAATTGAAAGGGAGGAGAAGAAGCATAAGGTCCAGCAAGCGCATCCATAAAATATTGGGATTTGCCATTCAGAGCAGAAGCTAATGGAGGATAAGATGACAACGGTGTCTTCATCCCCCAAAACCACAAAAATGATGAATGAAATAAAATTAAAATAAAAGCTCAAAAGTAACACAAGAAAAGAAAAATTGTGGGTAAAGAACAAAACTAAGAGAAGAAGTCACAGACCTCACAAGAGACTGCTTGAAACTAAACCACACGGGGAGCCCAGGAAGCAATACAAAAACCCAAAGCCGCAGAAAGGAGCAACATGAAAACCAGAGTAAAAAATCGCAGGGAAATGAACTAGGAAGACACTAAAAGATTGTATGAAGAGGAGCCCGAGAATCACCTCAAAAGCTAGAGCAAAAGAGAGCTTGCATCAATCCTATATGTTATTGAATTTTAGTTATCCATGTCTAGCTATATCTATATTTTGGTCTGATGATGTAAACACATAGAAAGTACTTATATAGGCTCTTATGCCTTAAATTAGTTTATAAATATTTTTAATATCTTATGCTCTTAATTTAATTCATACAATGACATGCATGTAGTTAATATCTAGTGTGATGTATTGCCTCGATTGTGGAACTTGAGAATAAATAGGAGTACTAAAATAGAATGTTGATATACCTAGATTTAGGATATTAAACCTTTTAGGTTCTATAAAGATAATATAATTTTAGGAAAGCCATAAATCTCCCTTTCCACCCCTACAAGATCAACAAAGATATAGGAGTGCATATGCTATGAGTCCATTATAATATTAAGAGTCCCACAAAGAAAACTATGTTTTTTTGCATTCATTAGTTCAAAACACTTTATTTCCATTAGTTTCTTATTTTCTTGTAAGTTTCCATTATTAGGAAAATCTCAAAAATAAGCATTTTACTTTTAATAGGATAAATCATGCATTTATATTAAAAAGTACAAATTTAATTTTAATTAAGTAGAATACTTCCTCATAGAAGCAACACTCTTCTCTGACACTTTATTACTTGATCAATATGTATACTTACATATTTAGTAGGCCTTCATTATTCTTAGATCAAAGAAAACATAAGCATATTTATTTTTCACACTACTTCTTTGTGTAGCTCACACTGTTGATCACATAGTTAGTCTAGTAAATGCCCATTAAGTTTTTTGCATTATTATCTGGGAGGTAAATTTCATATTACAATTTTAAACTATATTGTTGAAGTAGTGAATGTTTAGAACAACTTGTATCATGTATCTTTATTTTTATTGTGTTAGTTTATTAAAATTTTAAAAAGATAAAAAAAGTATCTTATTTCATGCTTAGTAGATCTATTATGTGATTCTGAGATATAAAGGATCCTTAAATTATTTTTTTTATAAAAAAAAAAAAGAAAAAGATTTTAGAGATGTCTGAACCAATACAATATCAAACTGCCCTAGACCTTTGAAAGAGTATGCTAACCATGCAGTAGAACGAATTCACCTAAGTATAAATAGATCTACTATCCAGGCCAATAGTATTAAACTGAAACCTATCATAATTTAGATGGTTCAAAATTCCCAATCTAGGGAAACTCCTATTGATGATCCCATTCTACACTTATCAAGATTCTTATAAATATATGTAATATTTAGGTATAATGGTGTTAATGATCATGCTATTCAACTTAGATTATTCCTATTTTCTTTGGGACAAAGCTAACATGTGGTTGAATTCCTTACCCCTAGGCTCTATAAT